GATCTGATTGGCTGCTGCTGGACGGGAAGTAATCCAGAGGTTTGCATCAGGAAGAAGGTTACCCTGGATGATGTTTGCTAGGAGATCCCTCACAGGTGCTGCTTCCTTGACAGATGTTATAGTCTTAAAGCCTTCAAAGTCCAGATGAAACCTGTTTTCATCCAGACCGTCCAGGATCAGGACAATCTTGGTTTTGGTATAATCCACTGAATCTTTGAGTTCAGACAGTGTGGGGTGAAATAAAGTCAGGAGCTCATGTAGGCTTTTTTCACCTGTAATCAAATTCAGCTCTCTGAAAGCAAGACTGAAAACAAAGTCTACATCCTGGTTTGCCTTCTCTTCGGCCCAGTCAAGAATCAACTTCTGCACAGAAAATGATTTTCCAATTCCTGCGACGCCCTTCGTCACAACTGTTCTGTGAGGTTTGTCTTGATCAGGCAACGGTCTGAAGATGTCACTCAGACTGACTGATGAACACGTTTCCAGTTTACTTGTGCCATATCTGAACTCATGCTCTGTGCGAGGCCCTTCACTCTGCCCAGTGGTGATGTAGAGCTCTGTATAGATGTTGTTCAAAGGACTCGGCTTGTCACTGTTACCTTCAGACACCAAAAAAAATTTTTTTTGCATCGCTTCTTTCCATGTCTTCTTTGCCTCAAACAGTTTGATGTCATCTGTAACAATGAAATGCAAGATGAACAAGCCCAAAATTACATTGTTAATACCAAATGATTTCATTTTTTTAAATGGGAAAAATGCAAAATCACAAAATGACAAAGACAACAAATCTTTAAATTAAAGTTTTCATTGGTTTACCGGTAATTGTTTAGATTTTGGGTAAGATGAAAAAAAATTTAAATCCAGAAAATTCACCAATCAAAAAGAACCCTACACACCTAAAAACTGTGTATAAAAGAGATGTTTTATTAACAAGAAAATCCCAAATATTCAAACATTCAAAATAAACTCAAACTCATTTTACATCTAAAACTTTTCTCATAGTAGTTCTACAAATTCTTAATACATACCATTGTTATCTTCAATGTCTTTCAGGTTTTTCAATGTTATTCTGGATTTCTTTCCACACTGTGGACAGGAGTCCTCTGCTGGTGAATCAGACTGATCTGAAGTTACACACTGTTTGCAGGACTCATGTCCACACATGAACTGGACTGGATCCTTTAAAACCTCCTTGCACACTGGACAGCTGGATTAGATGGGAGATGAAGAAAACATTTCGTTATTATTGTGCATCACACACAGTGATATGACTGTATCTGAGGCAGCATTTGA